CGCAGCCTGCAGAACATGTCACGACGCAACGTGGAAGCAGTGGAGTAAATAGACGTAGCCGTGACCCGACGGCACGACCCAACCGGCACGGCAACGAACCAGTGACCTCGACGTAATATTCGACAGCCGCCTCGTCACTGCTCTCATTTATACTGGAGCCGACTATTCCATCGTCAGCGGGTCTTTCGCGACGAAATTTTATTTATTTATTTTATTTATTTTTTATTTATTTTATTTATACAATACTGCAGACCAATTTAATGGTCCAAGCAGGACGGGCAGAAAAAAAGAATGTTCATGCACATACAATGCAATGCAAAAAAAAACAATGAAGCAACAAAACGCAGAATTCACTTAGAACTACAAAATAAACAAGCCACGGTGAAACCGACTTTTCGCACAAACATAGCAGGGTTTCCAATCCAAATAAAACTAGAAAATCACGCACAACTTCAAGTAACATTGCTAAAAACCCGATCGTCAGTAATTAAAAGTTTCTAAAATGATCGTGTAGGGCTGTCATAAAATTTCCACTAAAAATTCTTTCTGGCAATTTATTCCAGTCATCTACCGTGCGTGGAAAATATGAAAACTTAAAAGTATTTGTTCGGGCAAAGAATGGGGATAAACTGTGGCTATGTGTGTGTCGTGTTTTCCTCGTGGTGGAAATTAAAAAAAGGGAGGACTGCATGGCAAGGCCCTGAAATCTGGGCCGATGGAGGTCACCTAATAATGCCGACTGGAGTCTGCACAGCAAGAATCACCATTAATAACCAGACTTATTCTGCAAGTTTTGTAATCTCACAAAACTGCTCCAGGGATGCGATACTTGGAAGGAACTTTCTAAGTAAACACGGCGCTGTCATTGACCTGAGGTCTGAGTCAATCACACAAATCTCAGAAGACACCCTGCCAACCACCCCTACAACGCCAAGGAATCACGTATTGCATGTGCTAGAAGAGCAGGTCACCGCGCCGCCTTTCTCCAGCGTCATCGTTTCCATTGGCACCGAAAAAGCCGAAAACTTTGAAGGCGTCGTCAAGGGTGATCAGCACCTTCTTCAGAACCTTTCAGATTTGCGTCGCACGAGGCATAGCTGAGCTGCATGATGGCAAAGCAAAGGTGGTGCTGACAAACTTCAGTCACGAATATAGGCACCTCAACTGTGGTATGGCGGTCGCCTACATCGACGAATGCATGGAGGCCAGCAATTCATTTGCCCTCTTCAATGCTGCTTTTACGAATCGAGGTGCCGAACCAGATTTTGATGTCAACCCGAGCCTTTCAAAGTGCAAGCAAAACCAGCTCAAGTCCCTGCTTTTGCAATTCAAGGACTGCTTCTCGATCGTTGCAAATTTGGCAAACCCAAGTCGCGAAACATCGCATCTTAACAGAAGAAAGTGCCCAACCACTTCAACAAAGTATCGAGTCTCGATGCGTGAACACGACGCCGTAAAGAAACAATTCGACGAAATGCTACGTGACATCATTCAGCCATCTAAGAGAATGTGGGCGTCATCCGTGAAATTAGTGAAGAAGGACAGAAGTCTACGCTTTTGCGTGGATTACCGCCACCTGAACAAAATCCCAAAGAAGGACGTGTACCCTCTCCCACATATAGACTACGCATTGGACAGTCTTCACAATGCAAAGCACTTTTCTTCGATGGACCTCAAAACGTGCTATTGGCAAATTGAGGTTGATGAGAGAGATAGAGAGAAGACGGCCTTAATCGCACCAGACGGCCTCTTCGAATTTAAGGTCATGCCATTTGGTCTTTGCTCGGCGCCTGCGACATTCCAGCGCATTATGGACACCGTGCTGGCTGGATTGAAATGGCAGACTTGCCTCGTGTACTTGGATGACGTCCTCGTGTTTTCCTCCAGCTTCGACGAGCAGCTCCGGCGCCTTGAAGCGGTACTAACAGGCGTTTCGTGAAATGTTTTTCACAGATCGCCGAGCGGCTTACTCACCTCACGAAAAGCAACATCGAATTCAGGTGGGAAGTGGCACAAGAAGAAGAATTTCAGGCACTTAAACGACGCTTCCTAACAACACTAATACTTGCACATTTCAACGAATACGCTGAAACAGAAGAACACACCGATGCAAGCAGTGTAGAACTCGGCGCTGTCCTTGTGCGAAGGACTGACGGCGTGGAAAGGTCATCAGTTATGCTAGCCGGTCACTATCCAAGGCCGAGGCCAACTATTCCACAACAGAAAAGGAGTGCTTCGCCATCATCTAGGCAGCGCCAAAGTTTCGCCCCTACCTCTACGGCAGGCCTTTCAAAGCTGTGAGCGACCACCACACCTTGTGTTGGCTAGCTAACTTGAAAGACCCTTCGGGTCACCTCGCACGATGGAGCCTTAGACTTCAAGAATTCGACGTGACCGTCGTTTACAAGTCTGGAAGAACACACTCTGATGCTGACTGCTTGTCTCGTGCCCCCGTCGAACCACCGCTGCCAGACAGCCTGGATGAGGACCACTTAAGAATAATAACTGCCCACGACTTCACTGAGCAACAGCGAGCTGACCCGGAACTCAGAAGCCTTGTGGAATACCTCCAGGGTAGCAACATGACTATTCCAAATGTTTTCAAAAGAGGACTGGAGTTGTTCCTCTTGCGAGACAGAGTTTTCTTAAAGAAGAACTTCTCGCCCCTTCGAGCCGACCACCTTCTTGTGGTTCCTTCAGCAGTGAGACCAGAAGTACTCGAGACCCTACATGACGACCCGATGGCTGGACACCTCGGTGTTTCCCATACACTCACAAGAATACGAGAAAAGTACTACTGGCCACGACTTTCTGTCGACGTCACTCGCTACGTCAGGACCTGCCGCGACTGTTAGCGACGAAAGACACCGCCAACTAGGCCAGCCGGACTTCTCCAGCCCATCGAGCCACCTCGCCGGCCATTTCAGCATATCGACATGGACTTACTGGGGCCGTTCCCGACGTCGAATTCCGAGAACAAATGAATTGTCGTAGCTACTGACTACCTCACACGCTACGCTGAAACAAAAGCCCTCCCCAAAGGCAGTGCCTCTGAAGTAGCAAGGCTCTTTGTCGAGAACACTGTTTTTCGTCACGCAGCACCACAGGTCCTCATTACTGATAGAGGTACAGCCTTTACGGTGGACCTAACTCTGGCGATCTTGAGGTACAGTCAGACAAGTCACCGCCACACCACCGCCTACTATACATAGACCAACGGCCTTACCGAACGTCTTGATAAGACCATCGCTGATATGCTGGCTATGTATGTCGACGTCTAGCACAAGACGTAGGATGAAATCCTTCTGTACGTGACCTTCGCATACAATACCGCCGTCCAAGAAACGACGCAAATGAAGCCATACGAGTTGGTCTATGGAAGAAGCCCAGCAACGACGCTTGATGCTATGCTTCCAAACGTCGCTGACGAAGAGAACCTTGACGTCACCGCCTACCCTCAGCGTGCGGAAAAAGCTCATCAACTTGCCCGCCTGTGCATCAAGAATCAGCAGGCGACCGACAGCCGCCATTACAATCTTCGACGAAGGTTCGTTTAGCATCAGCCCGGGTACTGTGTCTGGGTATGGACGGCGATGCGCCGACATGGGCTCAGTAAAAAACTTCTGCGACGGTACTTCGTACCGTACAGCGTAGTTCGACGTCTCGGCCCACTCAACTATGAGGTTGTTCCCGACGACATTACGAACTCTCAACGGCACCGTACTCGACTTGAAGTTGTCCATGTCGTGCGCCTCAAGCCATTCCATGCGCAAACCTGAGGACTGTATTTTGTTGTTGTTGCTGTGCTTTATTGCTTGCACTTATTGGTTACTGTCCTTATATTATTGTACCTTCGTCTTTTGTTAAAGCATCGGGACGATGCCTTTTTCAGAGGGAGGCAATGCCACGTTCCTTTCCTCAAGTTTTGTTATTACCCCGTTACACTACGTTCAGCGCTAACCGCGCCTACGATGTTCGAGAAGCTTCGAGGCCGTAGTAGATTGTTTTGTTAAGAATACACCCACTTCGTGAACATCAGATTATTTGGGAACGTATGTCACCGCTAGCGATAACGCTAGAATATTCCATGGCAAAAGTATAAATGCCGACATGTTTCACCGCTTGTCAGTTGATCGACGTCCAACGCTCTGCTCATCGCTATCAGTGCCAACATCTTGCTGTAATCTGATTTTCCTTTTACGTGGCCGCAAGTTCAGCTCAAATAAACAGTTTATTATTCGACTTGCAACTGCTCCCGTTTTCTACGTCATGAACCCGTGGCAATATGTTTACGACGTTTTTTTTTTCATGCGGTGTCATTTACGCACCGGATGTGAATGCATAGTCACGAGGTTTGCTTCTACAGTATGCAAATTATCAACTAGAACATCTAAAAGTTGGCAGAATGCTGTAAGCGGCATTCAAAAAAAGAAGCATACGCCATATTTTATCATAAGCAACCATTATGTAGCATGTGAACTATTTTCAAGTGAGACATAGGTGTATTTACTATTTTGTAATTAACACACTTCAATTGAAGTCTTCTAATGACATCTCTATGCTTACTTTGGCTTTATTTGGTTATAACTTATAAAATATCTCATACTCATGGAGTAAATTAAGCCTTGACAATTTTAAAGTAGTATCAGTGACGAAAGCAGAATACTAGAAATCATATTAACACAAGAAAGAATTATTTGCTGATTAGTTATGTATTGATGAGCTTCAGAATCGTACAATAGAATTGGTTCTAATGAAGACATTATTGAATCATAACTTTCAATCATAAACGGAAAAACACTAAGCCTGTATAGTCAGCTTAAAGTCAAGTTAGACTGATAGGGGCCCTGCTGGGACAAATAGCTGACTTGAAGCCTCTGCTAAAGTCTCTGGTTTGTGTCATCATATTTTGACAAGCTATAATAAACATGAACTTGAAAAAACGCTGAGAAGGCTTGGCTTTCGTGAAGTACAGTACTTTAAAAGATATTAATACTTACCGGGCCTCATTGCCTGATCAGTTGCATACAGTTTTCCAACTGCATGCCAGAGGTCACTTGTTTTGGCACTGACACTGAAACAGGAAATTTATTTTTGGCATCAGATGTACTGCTAAAAACTCTGTAGTAACTTCCGAAAAAAAGTTGAACGTATGCTTCCATCTGCAATAGCATAATTACTCAGTTACAACCTAAACGAAAATTTTGGCTTCACCGACAGAACTCCGACGTGCCTCTGCTCCACCGGTGAAAGACAGTTGCGCTATGGTGTCCACTTAAACCGTAATATTTCTCTGCTAATTTAAACGCTACACATGTAAAGGTTCGTTAAAAGTTTATCACTGCTAAATAAAACATCAAGTTTTGCTGAGCTGTGGTGTCTGAATATCCGGCGAAATTTACACGACATTCGTGTTTCCAACCTAAAAACAGGGATGCGAAAGCATGTGTGCATGGGAAAGTCAACTGTTTGAAACACTCAAGAAGCACCCGATGTCACGAAAATGAGGAAGCACTACTGGATGACACATTTATGCCAATTCTTTGAATGGCGGGTGAAGCCAACGTTTTCTTTTTAAGTTGTAACCAAGTATAAGTAGTATCGATAGTAGTAGCAGCCAAATTAAAAAGCTGTTTATTAGTAAAAACATGTTTAAACAGGAAGGACGGAAACAGAAAATCTTTACTAATTGTACTGTAACTGCCTAATGTTCTGCCAGCAAATGCCCAGTGGAGGAGAGGGGAACCATGTATGTTTGCAATTGCACACAGCGTCTCACTTGCGAAATTGCATACAGTATTACGAGCTGTGTCCCATGGGCAAAGTAACATCTAAAGCACAAGTGTTTTGCATCAAGGAATAGTGTCATTCTAAATTCATAAGGCATTTGAGGGAATCTCTAATTTTTGTTCGCTGTAAGACTTGACTTGCCCATGGTGAAATGGCAGAGGTATAAAGACACTTTTGGGACATGATGTTGACTCCAGGATTATTTTTAAACCTTCTTGAGTGATGAATACGAACCTTTCAACAGGATCCGTAAGAGCTATTAACACAATTGGCAGAGCGACCGGTCCGAAATTTTTAGCCACCCATCTAGCCGCAGCCGTACCCAGAGCCATTCGGACGGCTGGAGAGCGATCGTCGAGCAGTTCTGCCACTGAAGAAATTACTGTAGGCGTGAGTGAGTTGCAGTCATTCTGCTCGAGGATAGGGCCTGCAAAAAAAATTTATTCAGATTAGTGTATGAATATCCAACGTGAAACAGGGGAAAAGCAGTACACTCAAACCTCATTATAATGAAGTTCTATCTGGCACGAAAATAAATTCGTTATGAAGGTACATCCCTAACGCTATATACGTATATTGCAAGACTATTTTTCATTTGCTTTGTTATAACCAATATTTTGTTATATCGAGGTTTTAGTTTGTTATTATGGCTACATGTGCCAAGCGCCTGTTTGTAAGCTGCAAAATCTATTATGTGCAGCGAAGCGCAACTCTCTCAAAATAGCACAGGGGTGGCTTAGGAGGGTGAGGAAAGACATGCCCCCTTCCTGCCTAACACATTCCTCCTCGGCCTCTATCCCCCCTCTAGTAAAAAAAAAATTATCCTGGAGCACCAACAACCACTGCCTCCTACTGGACACTTATAGGGACATATGTGACTAACAGTAGACTGGCGACCTCCGCTCATTTGGGGTGAGCATATAATTAGGATGTCACCCACATTTGTGACGAAACACCTGTGTAAGTTTTTTCAGTCAAACCGAAGTAAATCTTTTAAAATAATGAGCTCACCCAAATTTTGGAACAGTTTTGCATTCACTGAGATTTGGTTTGAACGGCCTCATCCCAGATGCTATTCAATAGCTACGGCAGTAATGGAAACAAACAGACTAGCAAAAAAAGCATGTCAGTCAACGCAGTTATTCTCATCTATATAAACAGCACAACCTTGGGGTGCATACTTTTTCTAAGTGCGGCAGTTTAATTCTGAGAGGCAAAATGGTACATAATACACTGCTTATCACGATTACGCTCGATTGGGGTTAAATATGCCAACATTGATTGGCTCCGTTCTGGAGCATCCATTAAGAAGTCAAACATGATTGGGATATTCACTCAGGATTAGGCTCGATGGAAATAGAAAGTGACTGTGCGAAAACAGTATTAGATTTATGAGCATGTTAAAGAACTCCAGCACATTGAAATTTCTGGAGTTTTCCACTACGCCGTGCCTCATCATCTTCTAAGAGCAAGAAAGGAAAGTTGAGAACCACCTGTTTGTAGCACAAAGCCACAAGCATGTCCATTTAGATTTCCGTCTGAATTTTGTTGTGGCCTTGTGCTACGAACAGGTGGTAGACAGTTTATCGTTTGCCATTTTGTAACGATTCTGCCAAATTGATATGCAGTATTCTTTGAAGTGCATAGCTCTTTAGGGGTCCAGCGTGTTGTTCATTCACAGTCTTATGTCGCACAGTGGCACAAGGTCAACGCAAGGCTAACAATGCTCAATACCAGAATGCCACACCAATCAATTTTACAATTCATTCATCCCCCATATGTCAGCAAGTTGGAACCGCCTTCCCTGATCTGTCGTCGAGATTACTGTAACTCCAAGTTTAAGGCGGCTGTAACTAACCTGTTGTTGTCATAATTGTATTATTTGTACGATTATTGTATTTCCATTTTTGAGTAGCACTTTTGTTTTCATTTTTCTCCTTTTTTTAATACACGTTTGTATCTTGACATATGCTACTGGAACGATGCATTTTTTCTTCATAGCACGTGCTTGTTCTTGAGTGTCATTTTGCTTGCGTTGATCCCTTTTTGTAATAGACCCTGTTGTGCTTGGTATCTCTTACTTATAAGTGCCACAATTCACCAAAAATCAGGAAAAACGCTCCTAAAACATCCGGCTGATACCCACCCCATGCAAGAGAGGGCGCCACCACCTCGGCAATCGCTGAGGAAATCGCTGGGTTGACACGACTTCAAGTTTTCTGGTAGTGTAGCTACACTATAATGCAGAACTACAGCAGAGCCTACGCAGGAAGAATGTTAGCGCACAATTTTTTGACCATCGTATTTACACGAATGCAAGTCAACCCATTTTATCTGAATTTGATGTCCGAATTTGGGGGGTCAACAAACGATCAAAACTGAAACTAGTTTCGGTTGTAAGCTCGATTTACAAGTGACAGTGAAACAAGCAAGAAGCCAGGCACGCTGTGTCATGGCTGCAACGTGTCTATATTACAGTTCTACCTGTAACACATACCATATTTTCTCATGCACAACCTGCACCCTCAGGAATGATGTGCAGAAAAAGACCCTTAAGCTTCGCTTTTAAGAGTTGAACACGATAGTGATATCCTGTCCCTAGTCCATACTGCAACCACATAGTGGTTGCAGTATGGACTAGGCACAGTTATGAGATCACAACTCGGGTCATGCGTGGCACCGTAGTTGTCCACCACCGCCGCCAACGGTGTCCGTAACCACTATCGCACAAAATAAGAAAAAAAAAAGTCAGTGAAAACATCAAGGACACAGTGGGGCTCGAACTCGGGTGTGCTGTGTGCCAGCCCAGTATTCTACCACTGAGCCTCACTGGCACTTTGGACAAGTTCGAAAACTTGCCTTAGGCAGGCTTGATGTCACGAAAGTAATTAAATTAATATGAGTAATAAAGCGTTTTATAACAGCAAAGGAACAACCAGGCGTCATACAATGTGAATTGCATAATGAGTGGGTCGTCCAATGCTCCAACCCATTACAAAATATTGTTTTTAATCACCTCTAAACTGTGGCGCATACCCACTTCAGGCATAGTTCCCTATTGTCATCAGCCACTGCACGAGAAATTGGCACGAAATTCCTTGCAAGTGTTTAGTGGCTACTGCGCTTCTCAGAAGAATGATGAAAGATAAGATAGCATAGTGAATGCCGGCCTACTACCCATAAATTATGATTATGAATTCCGTAGTGGGTACCAAGCAAGTGTGCTTGCATCAGTTACCCAATGAGTGTTTAGAAAAGTTTAGAAAAGGAATTTAGACAACATACGACCGATAGCCTTAACATCTAATGTAGTAAAACTTATTGAAAGGGTACTTCATGGTCGTATAATTAGGTTTATTAACGAGAAACAACTGTTGAGTTCTTCCCAAATTGGCTTTAGATCTGGATATTCCATATGGCATGCACATGTAGATCTGGAAAGTCGTATTCATATTGCCCGTCACAAAAAGCACTTTGCGGCTTTAGTAACGTTAGACATATGTAAAGCATATGATAGTGTAGAGTATCCTATCTTGACTAATCAGTTATGGAGTCATGGACTTCCACCTTATATAGTAGCATGGGTGACGGAATTTTTAAGTAGAAGAGAATTCTATTGTTATCAAGGCGGTTTCTCTTCCTGTAAGCACAAGCAAACCCGAGGTGTACCTCAGGGGTCAGTACTTTCCCCGGTTTTATTCAACATATTGCTTAGTACCATCCCCGTTCATCCAGAAGTGAAAACCTATGTTTATGCCGATGACATTGCTTTCTTTGCTATGTCACATGACTTCCACTGTCTCTACACTATCTTGCAAACATATCTTAATAAAATAGAACATTGGTTGGATGGATTGAAGTTGAACCTCAATACCGGTAAATGTGCTATTCTCGTTTTTCCAATCAAAGATCCCGTGCACATATCTATTAATTACAAGCTTCAAGATATCCCACAAGTACAATCATTGAAATATCTTGGAGTTATGTATAATGAGCATCTAAATTGGCGCCCTCACATTGAATACATCGCGACAAAAGCAGTACGCGCGATGGGGGTATTGCGGAGGTTGAGCAATTGCAGATCAGGTATGAGAAGAAAGGCACTTTTGATTGTATATAAAATGTATGTCCGACCTGTGTTGGAGTTTGGCTGCATTCTTTTCTCTGGTGCGCCAGCCTACAAACTTCGGCCGCTCGTTCTGTTGGAAAGAGAGGCTTTACGGCTCTGCTTAGGACTTCCAAAGTATACTTCAAATGCAGTGTTATACCTTGAAGCACGAATACCAACCTTATTATGTCGCTTTAACATTCTTACTGTGCAGACCTTTTTACGACTATATGAAGCACCGTTTAACCCTGAACAAATTATTTTTATTTCTAATCCTGACCTATTCTTCTCCGTGCATTGGCCCAGATTTACCAAACCACAAATAGTATTTGTTCAATCGTTACTTGAGCCCCTGAATGTACACGTTCGTGATCTGATTCCTTTAACTGAGCAACAAAATTCTCCAGAAATTGTTTACCATGATATCTTCCCAACTCACGCAAAGCTATTACCTACAGGCATTTTAAATGGTTTATTGCAGGACCATTTAAGTACTATTCCAACAAATGTCATTATAGCAACGGACGCATCTCAATCACATGAAAAATCAGGCGTTGGAATATATTGCCCCGTACTTGATTGGTCATTTTCACTTCGCTTACCGGACTTTCTTCCTGTCTTTCTGGCTGAATTCATGGCAATAATGTTAGCTTTGCGAAAGGTAAATATTTCCATTCCAGTTGTAGCAGTCATAACTGATTCATTATCAGTGTGCTCTTCTCTGTCCGCATCTGGTCACTCACCTATAGTGAAACTTTTTAAATCGTTGATCCCCTGTCATCTCCGAAGTATTTATTTAATCTGGACACCAGGGCACAAAGGTTTGTTGTTAAACGAAATAGCTGATTCTCTCGCGAAGGCATCCCTTTCGACACCAATTATTCCTATTTTCCCCCATACAGTATACATTACGGTGGCGCGATTTCGCACACTTAAAATCAGGCAAAATTTATCTGACCCTGCACTGACGGCTTCTCCAGAGTACAAACACTTGTTATTTCCCTGGCGCAGTGAACTGACTAAATCAAGGATGATGGAAGTTGTCATCACGAAATTTCGTTGCCGCGTTACCTCCCTCAATTTTTACTTGCATAGATCAGGCATATTGAATTCCCCTATGTGCATTTACTGTAATCAAGAGGAAACGATCAGCCATTTTTTATTACATTGTCGCCGTTTCGATTTATTCAGGCAAAGCATACTAGCACCACCTCTTCAAAGACTGGGCTTGCAACTATCACAGCCTGATCTTCTTTCATTTGGAGCCTCTACACTGGGTTTCAGCCACAGGGATGTTTTATTCGCCGTTCAAGAATACATCACTGCGACTAAACGATTTTCTTGCTAAATTGCTGTCTCAAAATTTTTCTTATTTTTTTTTTCTGCAAACTTGATATCGGTATTTCAAATCAAAATTAAGTTACAAAAAAAAAAAAAAAAAAAAGATTGTAGGAATGACACAATGCTGAAAGTTTAGGGCAAATTCACCTTAAAATCGGCCAATCCCCTTCTTTGGGTACGAGCCATTTCTACAGGGAAACAACAACAACAACAAAGGCCGCTCTCCTAGCTTTCGCTGTGACTGTGCCTTTTGTGCAGGCCTGGCATTTTTACTGTACCATTCAACTTGTGGATTACTGCAATGTATTGGATAAAGAAGCTTTTCCATATGGCTGCATTCTTTGTAACAGGTGGCATGTTTCAAAGCACAAGCAATTATGCTCATGAAATGTTTTCGATCTTGCTATGCACCCACTACATGGTCTTAAAGGTATATGTGCAGTAACATGTGTGCCTTTAAACCACACAGTTTGATGCCCGATGGCAATGTACGCCTGTACCACGCAATATTGCCGGGATATTACACATTATATTGTGAAGCCTTTAGAAATAAAGAACTGTGTGTGAGTAAAACATGAGCATTATTTTCACTGCATTTCCAAGCAGAGGAATGGCTGTGTAGTAGAACACCTGCTTGCCATGCAAACGACCTGGTTACTCTTAGTTTTTCATCGTTTACTTCATTGGCATCTTTCTAGATTTTTCGCTTACAACTAAAGACGCCTACGCCAGAATTTCTGTGATACGAGCTCTTTAACTCTAAAAAATATCCAAGAATGATTGCCGGAAAGATAGCTTTTCTGCATTGCTTTCAAGCACTGCCGAAAAGTCACCTTTAACATCAGGATGTCTGTGTTTGCTTTTTCCAGCGCCATCGCAAATATATATATATTTTTAATGAAATACTACAGCGTATTGTTTTTCTTTGCCGTGCAATTTTGAGAGGAGAGGGGGGTTGTCCTACACCCGAGTTGACCTACAATCGTGTTAATACGATAAAATGCGATCGCCAGTCTGGCCCATCATCCCGAATGCCGAGGTCACAGCTTCTTACCCAACGCCTGCACCGCAAGTGTGCGCAACGCCGAATGTTGATGTCTCAGCGCCTGGACGAGAGCGGGTAGCATGGAGTCGCACTGGAGGTGAAAATGGTTAGGCACGGCCTTTTCGAGCTGAACGACGCAGCGGCAGGCCTCCTTCTTCACTTCCACGAACGGGTCGACGAGACAGGAGCACAGGGTAATGACGATGTCGTTGAGGTGAGACACACACCTCGCACCGGCACCCATGACGGTCCTCGTGAGCGCCTGAGCTTCGATGAGGCGCACTTCTTCGGCCACTTCGCACGCGCCACTCGTCGAAGGCTCGACGCCGGCCAGAAGTCGTCGCCGCAGTGCCCTCACGATCAGGGCTACGACGTCGTCGGAGAGAGGAAGCACGGAGGTGATGTCGAGCAGCAACTGAGCTCCCAATTCGCGGCACCGCTCGGTAGGATCGGTGAGAGCGCCTATGACGGGACGTATGATCACGGAGACCAGAACCTTGCGTTTGTTCTCAGGCAAATCACCGTGCATGGCGTTGACGGTCGAGCAGATGTTCTCCAGGGCGCGTTTTCGGACGAGTTTGTCCTCCGATTCGAGCCGCTCTAGTTCGAGCAGCACATCTCTGAAATCGTCCGCCGCCATCTTTGAACGCTTCACCGCCGTTGCCCTTGACAACGCAGGGTGCGTAGTCAAGGTGTCTTTCAATTTGACAACGCAGGGTGCCTTTCAAATTTTCATTTTTGATTGTTTTTATTTGTAAGACAAGTGAAGTAAGTTTTTTTATTGTAAAGCTTGTGTTATGTGAGGAGGTGAATAATAAAAGACAGCGTCTCCTGAGCCGGCGGCGCAGCAGTCATAATAAAAGTAATGAAAACGCACATGTTATGTTAAACCCGCAACGTATTTGATTAATTTGCTATTACAATTTTCAGTTTAGTTCATTGCTATACATATTTTTTGCCATATATTTTTTTTACAAATGCACGCTCTCTTACAGTAGACGTAGCACTAGACAAATAGGAAAAGTAAGTTAACTAGCGCCATTTTTTTATCCTAGTGGCACCCAAACCCAGCAACGTGCATCATCGCACGCATCATCAAGCTCACACGCCGCAAAAATTTGCGCTGTTCAGTGCCGTCGTAGTCCGCACAGCAAACTGTCGAGAACAAATAATCTGGACTAGGACCTTGGCTAGACGACGCAAGCTGCTCTACAGCGGCCGTCCACCTGGCGGTGCCTTCGTGAGGTCTCCTCTACCCCTCGGTGCTCGTGAACATGGCGGCAATCACACGGCTATGCAGGCTGAGCCAGAAACTCGAGAAAATGAGGGCCGTCGCGCCTCCGCAGGCCCGCTTCTTGACGTCGGCGGTCAAGCATAGGGCTCCCTGTCAACCGCTTTCGGTTTCGTTGCAGCCCGCACCACAAGCCCGACTGTTATATCAGGTAAACTCGGCACCGGATGCCTAAAAGGTTCCAGTGCGTCCGTTTACAAGTAAAAAAATTAATTTTCTTGGGGGTACACTGGTTTGCTCAACACGCCGGTAATGTGGGAGCGCGATGCCAGGCTCTTTTAAATAGCCGTGGTGGGTCTATTGAAACTTGTGCGGACGCACAAACTTTGTTTCGGCCACTGTTTTGGGACGTCGTCTTCTCATGCCGCAAAATCTTAGCTTGACCTTGCGGCTAAGAAAACGTGACCGGCGATCGCACTCCACCGTTGCCGTTTCTCGCAGTGATCACTGCATCTTGTGGTTTTGCGCAGCATATTTGACTCTTGATAGTAACTGAGCACTGGTCTTTTATTAAGCGAAGAGTGACCTGCGTGTGGTGAAGGCTTGTTTTCGGACCGTCTGGCGACCGGGTTTCAGATCTCGCCGTTTCGCTTAATGCCTCGAGGTCAATGCACCGTCTTGTTGCAGTTTTGGATCGTTTAGCAACGGAAACAAACCTTGATGAAAAGTTCATCTCTGGGTAAAAAGTCTTGTTGCGTTATGGTTCGCATCGGGCACGTGCGGTGTAGTGCTTTATTCGTTGTTGTTTCTCCTACAGGCGCCGAACAGATAAAAAGAAAAAGACGCCCTTATCGCCCACGTATTTGGCCAGATGTGGCAGTCTGCGTTTATTCTTTTGATAAGGGCTATGTAGTAATCTTGTGTTTCTATTTGGTTCTTTTAATGTGAAGCACCACGTCCCTTAATGAAACCTTTCCCCTAAGCTCACGAATTCTCACCTCTTTCGATAAAGGCGATTTTCGATAAAGGCGATTGCTGTAGGCCTGCTGGCTCAGATTTTGGTGCACGTTAAAGAACCCCAGGTGGTCGAAATTTCCGGAGCCCTTCACTACGGCGTCTCTCATAATCATAAGGTGGTTTGACACCACATATCTACATCTATTTACCCTGTCCCAATATGAAGCTGTGTGAATTTAGTGCTTGGTAGAAACGATCCAACTGCATAGTCTTAATTACTGCATCACCATGTCTATTGCACACCCCTAATGCTGTTGTACAACTTGGCAGCCTTAGCTAAGCTATTAGTTACAATCCTCAATTGGTTGAACGCATAACTACATGGGGCAATTGCAGAAATTTTGAGGTTTCATGCTTGCATCAAGGACTGCCAAGTGATTCACGATGGACAAGTGAGGCATTTTCTTTTTGGTGTTTTGATGAAGCTTGATATTGAACATGGAGGTACAGCTTTGCAAATCAGCAGTTTTACTGTGGCATTTCATTTCACTTTAGTGGAGACAAGCAATGAAAGTGAAGCTGGTAGTAGTCTTGGACCTGATTCGTAAATTACTCCTCTGGAACTATAGATAATTAAATAGTACTTTAAGTGGTGGTACTTATTGAACAAAAACCTGATGAATAGCATTTCCATTTTGGAATTCTTTCGTGAGCTGTGTCTTAATATTTAATGCTGTTAAGCTGAGGCTCACATTTTGTTAACATAAAATGATAAAATTGCATTAAAAAAGCAAGTCACCTGCTTCTGTGGTTGCGGTGCTCGACTGCTGACCTGAAGGACGCGGGATCCAATCCTGGCTGCTGTGGCCTCATTTTTGATAGAAACGCCTCTTGTATATTTAGGCATACATACACGTTTATTTAACGTAGAGGGCTCCGAAAATTTTCAACCCCCGGTTATTTACCTCAGGTAGTCAAAATTTCTGGAACTCTTTACTTCGTCACAAATTCAAATCGTGGTTCTTGATACCTCAAGCCCCTACAAATATTAAGTCTTGCACGCCTTTGTGGACCTTTTGCTACTCGGTGCAAAATAAGTTATGTGAGAAGTGCCTTTTATTGGGCTGCAAAAAAGCCTGTCATGTGGTCCAGATAAATTTCGCACTATTCTGATGTCCTTTTTCATGGCTGTCGATTGAGTTTTCAGCTAATGCTGTTACATAATATTATTTGAGTACTTGCCTAATTAATTTTCTATTAGCGAATATGAAATGGTCACAATTGGAACGGGGTCGTCTACTCTGATACCCTGGTCATTAGTGAATAGCACTAAACTACCGTTAATAAATGGCATGCTAAACTTGCCAAGTTTTTTGTTCAAAAAAAAGCACTAAAAATAATGAGTCATAAATAACTAAGTCTTCAAATGGACATAAATTTCTGTTAATTTCATTGTGAGAAGTTTGCTGCTAAGAAATAAAAAAAAATGGAAAGCAAGTATATAAATTCGAATTTCCTGCCGAGACATGATCATCAGTGTGTCAGTGCGATGTGCCAAAGTAGCTTATAAAATCAGTTGTCATAGTTTGGCAAAAGCTTGCTAAATATGGCTGTTTCTGACTTCATTGGAATAGATTGTAGCATGCCTATTAACAACCATGCAGAATTTGCAAACTCACTGTTAGACGGTTCAAGGAAACATTCTAAACCTCTCATATGGCACTGTTCCTGAAAGCCTTCTCCTTTGTTCAGATGCTTTCTTTTTTTTTTTAATAACTTGGAAGTCTGACCTAGTGATACAGTTTAATATTTTGTGAGCATTTAGTTTTCCTCAGCTGATTATATGTTAAGAGGTTTTTTATTTTTTATTTTTTGTATCTTAAAAACATTATTTACTACTAATACACCAGTGGTAGTTATTGCATTTAATGTCTAATTTTTCTGAACTGATACGCAGTCTTTTTTCATTCAAATTCAACGGGGATTTCGAATAGTTTTTCAGCACGGCTCGAACAAGTGTTTTTCGTTCCAGCCCTCTTCAAAATAGGGCGTGTTTCTGCGAGTTTTTCAGCTGCAGCAAGCGAGGCGAGACCTACTGGCGTACTTTTCTTCTTTATGTTTTTCAAGCCCAGTTCGTTGGACTGGAATGAAGCAGGTGTGTGCGAAAAAATGAAGTCAAGCGAAATTAGTTTGAAGAGTCATTGTTTGAACGTGCTAGACTGCACTGCTTCGTAATAGGCAGATAAAAATAATGGCCATCTCAAAACTTCAGTTTATGGGGTGAATGGTACAAGTGTAGCATGGATCGGATACAAAAACACATGTTGGAATTGTGGCTATTGCTTTTATTTTTTTTTAACCTCGCTGCGACAACATGCAGCTGTTTCATCTCCGAGTGAGATACATGACAGGATGTAGATAATGCTTGTTCAAGTCTGATATTCTCCATGCCATTTAGCCACAGTTTTCCAGCCATAGCCAGCTGTCACCTTTTCTTACACCAGCAACAGACTGGTGTACCAGACTCATTCAGCTTAGTACTAAGGATGAAGGAACAAACTATCCAGAAATATTGTCATGTGTTTAGCATTAATTCTTTCTGGGACCAAAACTCAAGCACACACATGTCACATTATAACGTAGCTGGAAAACATTAGGCAGTTTCTCCTTTGAAGAATCGAAATAGGTTACACAGTTGCAAAAAATTTTGACGCTGAATCTTCATTTCAAAAGGAAAACGATCCTTCTAACCTTGAAGAGCCACTTACCAGGCCCCATACCAAACTTTAGTTAGACAGTGAAAGTTGCTGGGTATCCGATGAGAAACATTTTGCCACAAACATTTTTTGAATCTGTTCATCACGAGCAGAGAAAACAGGTTTTTTGAAGCGGCGTGAAACGAGGATGAGAGGAGGCGGGCTCGAAACCTTTGCCGCTCCTCCGCGTCGCCTTCGCAAGCCAAATATCTTCCCGACCCTTTCTGGCATCCGACCAAGAGGTGACGTGTCCAAACAAGTCCAGCCCCCGAGCATGCGAGCAGTGCTGCTTTGTTGACCAGCGTTATTCTGTGGTCTTCTACCTGCTTCTGCGGGATGGTTTGGAAATGCTGGCTTAGATGCGGTAGAATAAATGGGCACAATGAGTGCGCGAACGCGTAGGAGCGTTCCACTGCGGTCGTCTGCTCGATGCGCTGACCGCGAGGACACGAACGCATGCGAAACGTCGACACATTAGGCCCACATCTCGTTGCAATTCACAGGAGAGAAATGGAAAAAAAGACGCTCACATTTCCTGATTGCATCTTATTATTTTCTAGAGATTTATTAACATCTTCAAGCAACAAATTACATAAACTACGCATGTCATGTTAAATAATTTTCGCCTTGTCACGTGCCACTGTTTGTAACATCAAAGCAGAGTCGTCTACGTAGAGGACCAACGTCACTGCATTGCCGTGTACGTAGGGGCATGCATACGCGCACGTCATGCCCTCATTCTCTGGGCGCGCGCCAGCAGAAGGGAGGGGGAGCAGCGTTCATCTTGAAATTTGACCCATTTCCACAGCACGTAGCGTTGCAAATTTTGGCAGATGTGATCAAGAACGCCTCGTCTTGATTAAGCCTGGTGAGTGGCCCTTTGAAGAACAAGGAGAGAGCAGAGCAGGGGAAGGAACAAATCGGTGTTTAGGTTGAAATCAAGTAAGAGAAATGGGCAGGGCATGTAGCGCGAAGGCAAGGTAATTTCTGTTTTATTATCTCTAAGAGAAGGCTAGAACGCAAGGGGGAGATAGGTAGACAAGATGAGACGATGAAGTCCGCATGTATAACGTGGCAACAGCAAGCACAGGTTACCGGGGAAACATGGGAGAGGCCCTGTAGTGGGCGTTGTCAGGTTCATGATGATGATAATGAAACATTTAACATTTTGCGCTAATCTGTGAGTTTGCTTTTTTTTTTTGCAAGAATATTCCAACTGTGAACTTTTATTAATTGCAGAATGCCTTTTTCCACTCAAAGAACATTCACCCCTACGCATTCTGGCAAAGGTCCTCAAGCACCACAATGGCTTTTCAAGAAATTATTATGTGAATTTGACATTTTGCAGTTTCCTACTGTATCGTAGTTATTCATTCAAGACTGTGCTTGCTGAGGGGTCATTTTGCGGTGGTCCCTGCTTTCATGACTGACATAATTTGTTGATTTCCCATCCAGGGCAGGTGCAGACCACCCCCAATCTGTAGTTGTCTGCCATGCAAAAGTGCACATCCAATAGTGTTAACTTTGCATTCATCAAACTCTCGCAGGTGCAGGCGTCAACACAGTTCCTCCCATCGCGGTCGTACAGCGATAAGCCGCCTTTGACATTAGACTCCATTCGTGACAGAACCATGCTTGTGCTGAAGTTGTACGATAAGATCGACCCCGAGAAGGTTGGTTTTCAAGACACTGATTTCTTCAATAATGATTTCTCCTTACTATTTTACTGGTCGGCCAATTTCATGAGATATATGGCTTTTTTTTCTCATCTTCTTAAGAATGCCATGATAGTGTGTCTTGCTGGCATGGCCCAACTGTCACAACCATCTTTTTTGGGGGAGGGGGGACATGAAAAGTACACTTCTACACAAAAAAATAATTAAGCACACATAAGTGTTATTTGAGTTAAAGCTTCCCTAAAGCCTTTTTCAAAAGTAACTGGTATGGCTTATTACGATTGAAAAACCAAGTGATATCTTCATTCAAGTCCTTGAAGAGCTACTGCTGCTAGCTTTCTGCATGGCTGAATCGACAGAGGGAAATTCTGTGAGACCTGTCCTCTGCCTCCTCATTAAAATAATATTATGATCTTGATTTGTATACACAATAGCCTCATCCACGTTGTGTCCGAACAAAACTTCCCTATGTTATTGGGCTGTGGTGGGTGCTGACTATTGTGAACATCGATAAAAGGTCCTAGGGTCATGTAGTGATGACAGCCTAATATCCGAGGCATGTGATAAACTGTCATTCCATCGCTTCCGTGCAGCTCACACTTGAATCGCATTTCATCTACGACCTGGGCCTAGACAGCCTGGACTGTGTCGAAGTCATCATGGCCATCGAAGATGAGTTTGGTCAGTGTCCATCGGATTTCTGTCATCATGCTTTGAAGAGAAGCAGTCTGAGTTTGAATTATTCAGCCACATGGCAGGTATTCTGGAGTACGCTTAAAAGTAGTTCGGTGTGATAAATGGCCCTGTCGCTAAGAAAGCTACAAAATGAACCTAAGCTGTGGACTTTCACAGGCCACCATAATGTGATGGGGTGTTCGCCAATGGTCTGATTGTTATATAATGGCTTCTGAGACATTGGTAACAGTCAATTAAGTGGTGTTGAAGTCACAGAATTCGTGGCCTCAACTTTGGATCAGCTAGTGCACTCTGGTGGCAACCGAACCTGCTGTGCAATGCAGCAGTCTACCAGAGTGGTTACGGTGTGTGACTAATTACTGGGGGTTGCAAGTTTTGGCAGGATGGAATGTTGGAGACCTGTGTACTACTTTATGCCAGTGCACATTAAAGAGCGTCAGATAGCCGCAATTCATGGAGCCTTCCACTATGGCGTCTCTCATAATCATGTTGTAGTTTTCGCGCCTAATACTGCAGGTAATATTAGAAGTGGTCGAATTGCTTTGTTGCTAAACACGAAGGCAAAGTTTGGCTACCGACTTCAACAGACACAGTTCAGCGAGAAGGAAATCCAAGAGCGTGTGTACCTGGAATTGGAAGCGTGCTGGGGGACCCGACAAAGTAAAAATTAATTGGCAGTTCACACTACTGTGTGCTTCATAATCACATTGTGGTTTTGGTGTGTTAAACCTAAGAGCTCAAATGTTCAACACAACTAATGGTGTATGTAAACGGCCTTCAACCTGTGGTAGAAATAAGATCGGCTGATGATGATTGTGTAATTGTTCCAGCCAGTAAGTTGATTTCCTCCCCAAGTCATTTGCAACCTCAACCGGGTTCTTCGTTGTGCGTGCTTCAACAGGCTTTGAGATTCCGGACACTGATGCGGAGAAGTTGGTGAAGCCTGCGGACATAATCCAGTACGTGGCCGACAAAGAAGACGTCTACAAATAGGCGCTTCCTGGTACTATAAAAAGGTGGGCTTTGGTGGCATCACATTGCTTAAAATTGGTGTCACACGAGCCAACTTAAGTGCACTTTGCCACTGGTGTCATTCGGCAACCAGCTGCTAAGTGCACATGTTCGCAAGTGGGGCTCACTTCTCTCTGACCGATTCTTGGTACCTATTACCCAATCCTGGGCTCGTAGTAATTCATAGTCTCGTGCTCAGCTGAGATGTGTGCCTGCAGAAAAGAAGACTTGCAGTCTCTGGACACAGTGTTGACACACAGGCAGCATGTCACCTGCTCTTCGCAATCTCAGCGGGTTATTATGTCCGTTCTTTCTGGTAAAAAAAAAAAAAAAAGAAATTTAACAATGGCCTGTGTGACAGAATTCGTGATGCTTTTTGGCTGGAAAACATGATTGTGCAAGTTTTTGAGTAAATTTTGCAGGCGTGAACTTCGCCTGCAGTGGTAGTGTGCAAACTGCTAGAGCAACCGCCAATTGGAAGTTCGCATACCATGAGAATTGCATCAAACTGACCTTTGTTAATTTCTTTTATAGAGTCTAACCAGTTTATAATGAACTCGGAAAGTGCCAAAATAACTGGTCGTTATATCAGCAGTTCGTTTACATGGACTTGCCCTTAAAATTGTGCACTTAGCAACCAAACCTTTTTTTTGTGTATTTTTATTTTTACAAAAGTGTTAAAGACCCATCCGGTGACAGGTTAAGCCTTTTTGCATGTTAGATGTTAGGCAACTCCCGCTGTGTGCTCACAAGTGAATTCAACCACGTTCGCCACGAACGCGCACGGTTCCATTGAAGCACGGTATTATAATCATTCATGGCTAGTTGCGTGCAGCAGGTTGCTTACTCTGCTTTGACCGTCACATGCCAGGCCGTTTTCAGTCTAATGTATGTGTACGTTTGTGCATTCCTCACGCATGTTTCACCCCATATCGTGCTCTGGTTCAGTGAGTAGCGTGTTAGCTCAACATATGAATACGTGTATTTTGCAACCGGTCTCGCATGACGCTGCCGCGGCGAACAGCAACATGACTCGCTTGTACTGTCATCAATCCGTGTGGTTTAAACACGTGAAGCCTAGCAGATATCTGCAGGCTACTGTGGTAAGGTGGTTGGCAATCAGTCAAAATGGCACGTTCATCACCACCAGCCATCTTGACTTCGCTCTTCGAATATGCTTATCTGTCACAGCACTGTCTTTATCACTGATCAACTGGTCACTCTTACCGAAAGGCAGAACACCTTTCGCCTCACATTGTGGCATCGGCGAGTTGATCTTCACAGTGAACTTTAAAATGACAAAAAAGTTATCGCTTCTTGCATTTATGGCTTTTTGCGTTCGAAGCATTTTCGTTGGTCGTAGATGCAAAGAACGGCGTCAGCAAGCTTTGCTGTGCAAAAAGTGACCGCAAGTCTTCATGCAGCCTCCTTTTTCTTATTTCCCTTTCTAACGTTCTGCCAGTGAAGAAATGCCTGGAAAGTGAGCAACATCGCTTGCAGCATCTGAAATCAGCGTGTGGCGCTTGCAGTGGTCTGCGACACCTTTGTCGCAAGTGAACTGCAGTGTAGCACGCGGGAGTGCGCTTCTCCCACATACTTTGGAATGTCTGTTTAAACTTTTCTCTTCGTTTCGTATGTGACATATTTTTACCGCGACCATATCAGAAGTGTTCGTTGTATATCAGTAGGAGGCTTTCTTGAAAAACGTTCGCTATATGTGGACAGAGTTTCTATAGGTAGCATAGGAAAATCGTAAGTGCACCAAAATATGGCTGTTATAATTGATAGATCGTTATATCTGATATCGTTATAAGTGGGTTTTACTGTATTCCCAGAAAGAATGGGTAAATCGTGATGCGCTGCGTTGCGAGAGGCACGCGATGTGAGGCATGTGAGTGAAGTACCGCAGTGGTGCTTCACTGCATCACTGTCGTGCAGTGAAGCATGTCTTTTTTGCCCAGGTGCTCACTTAGATTTATCACAAGACTGCCTCTCGTCTTCTTGTGTGGCTGGTGTGCTTCAGCAGCCGCTCATTAGTATCTTTACACTGCATTACCTTGACGCTCCTAAAAGCTGCCGTTTCTGTCGATTTGCGGCAAAATGGGGATCGGGAATCGGCACATGACACCAAAAATTTCTAAATCAACCAGACTGGTGCTAATTTCTGCTTCGAAATGTCCCCACAAACTTAGAATATGGGACTGCAGAAATCCTTTGAACTAAGCAATATTTCAAAATAACCAAATTTGAATTAATGAGGCTTTACTGTACATACTTTGCTGTTCTCGCTCTCAGGCATTTTGCAGCCACAGCCACCAGGGGCATGCCCAGCACACACCATGCTACGACTGCACCTGCTGCGTTTGCAACTAAAATTCATTTCAAGAGCTGCGTATAACTATAACACATTATTACTTGTAACCATCACCTGGAGTAACAAATATTTTTGGTGTGCTACTGATTTATCTGTTGTGATTAGCATCATTTCCGAATTAAACACTATTGTGTAGCAGTGCCGTGCCACAGTGTTGTTCTGAGTGTGTAAAAACACCTGCACCGAATGAGTCAATTTGCCAGTGTGACCCGAGCACTAAAAATATTTTAGTTTTCTTAGGCAACTGCCATTACATTTAGGATTTTTTATGTGCTTTGGTTGCTGTTATTCTTGAAGTATGCTTCGCAAGTGTTTTATAACCTGACATGCCAACCTAGCAGCTATGTTGTCGCTCTGCTAAGCTCGGGGTTCGATTCTCGTGGAGTTGAAATGAAAGACACTCTTACTTGAATTTAGGTGCACATTAACTCTTTTGTTACCATGCCTACTTGAATCGATCACTGGTGCTTTGAATCATGGATTTTGACACGTTGGATTTGTTTCCCACACACCTCTTAGTAGCTACTCCCACCACTGAACATTCTAAATCGGTTTGAATGAGCCTGCTTTTTTTAAATATACTCTCGCGAACCAATGTGCATGTGTTGGGAAAATGCGCTTGGCTGGCAAACTTCATTGAAATGAGTGCCTCTCGTGATTTTGCTTCATTAATATTAGAGGTCTACAATCTAACACCACACCTGTGCAACGAACCCGGCTTCGCAGTCTGACGGTGCTGTGTTGCCGGAAATGTATGCCGGCTCTTCCTGCTTTAGAACATTCAAGTCCACCCCTCCACTACAGAAAATGCGATATTCAGACTACCCTTTGTGTGTCCGAAGTATGCAATGTTGCAAACAAGTGTGCCAAAGCTTCGCTAGAGGCCAGCAGAATGAAAACTAAATGTCGAAGCTCTGCACTACCGTAGTTATAAGGGAACAGTGGGAAAGCTTCTTTGTGCACTTTTATGACTTTACTGCCTTTCCTCGTACACTGTGTTTGCTGCGTATCATCGGAGCTTATTTGATATTGCTAACGCGACAGAGAGGATGAAGAGCACCTGTCTTGCAAGTGGATCGGTGCCTGGTGGCAGCCATTCAGCCCCTTTCCATCAGCCCATCTTCAAATAAACATCTTTCATCGTAACAGTTCAGTGAGAGGTGCTGGGTACGACAGTGGTGCTCCTCATGAACGACGGCGCACCAACTGCAGAGACGCAATACGGGGTGATTCGCCGAAGCGGATAAATTGCTGGTCTGCCGCCAGAGATGGATTCCAAAATTGGCAACGATCATCTGGCAGCTGCTTCCAATCTCCCGACACTGGCCGCCTCCAATTACCCATTGCAACCCTACATCGCGCCACGAACTTTCGCAAAAAAAGCTGGTGAGGATGTGGACGCGTGGCTGAGCTTCTACCAACGGGCAAGTCGGTTCAACGGTTGGAATGCCACCGGTCAGCTCACCAATGTCTGCCTCTTCCTTTAGGGAACCGCGTCTGTGTGGTATGAAAGCCACGAGAAGAGCTTGACAACGTGGCAGAAGTTCCTCGTCGAGATTAGGAAGTGCTTCGGAGATCCAGCGGCCAAAAAGAAGCGTGCTGAGCAAACGCTGATGTAGAGCGCTCAGGTTCTTGAGGAAACCTGCACAACGTTGAATGAAGTACTCAAGTTGTGCAAGGTTTTGGACCCTCGGATGACCGAATAAGTTAGGCCACTTGATCAACATAATGACTGTCGCCAGCGTTGACGTTGCTCCAGCCCCGTCTGACCTTGCGTCAATTATCCGCCAAGTGGTGTGGGAAGAGCTCGACCGACGTGAAGTGGCATCTGTTCCATCTTCTCAGGTTCGGGAGCCTCTCTGTACGATCTGGGTGTGACGTCCATTAATGATGCTTCCATTGATGCATGCAACTTCGCACCTCGTCCAATGATACCTTGCCCTGCAATCAACGCCGATCCTTACGAGGTCCACGACGGCTTCATACGTAGCCCATCTGCAAGTCTCTCAACTGTGGGACAGCTGCGCCATTTATCCTCCCGCTGGTAATTGCAGCATGTCTCGTGAGTGCCCCGTCTGCTTCCAATGTGGCGTCCGCGCCCACGTCGTCCGATTTGGTCCTGAATTTCAGTCTGGATTTCAAAACCAAACTTGGTCGTAAAGTAATGTTTCGCTGGGACAACGCTCGCACATTTTGTGCCGCAAGTGGACAATTGCTCCGACCCCTTTGTGTGTGCCGTGAATGTTTATTTCTCTGACAAGTTATATAAAGCTGAATTTGCAGTTCTTGCTCAATCTGCACATAACGTAATTCTTGGCCTCGACTTCCTACAGCAGTGTAGTGCCACACTTGACTATGGGACCGGCGAGCTTTTCCTGCCCCCTCTTGCCGACCTACCTTCTACCTGTTAGCGCACCCTCGCCGTCCTTGAAGATGTCGTCCTCCCAGCACATTCCTTATTCAGAATTTGAGTAGCTGCTGATAGTGTGGACATCGATGCACTTGCTGCATTTGCCGAGCCCGTGTCTTCGATCATAACGAAGAAAAGTGCGTTCGTACCTCAATGCGTCATCTCTTTGACCCGCGGGACAACCACACTGTGGGTGTCAAATGTATCTCGCGAGTCTGTTCTGCTACCCAGGGGTATGAGGCGTGCATCACTTGAACAAGGATACCAGCATCGATATAGCAACACATCGCACGAAGTTCAAGCAACTGATCCTGCTGCTGTTTCGCAAGACTCCTCACTTTTCTTGAATATGGTCAACAAGTCACTGACCTCCGAGAAGTCTCAAGTTCTGGGCAGTGTGCTAAGAAAGCACGCATCACTGTTTAATTTCAGCCGGGAAGCTGAGGAAGTGCGCATTCCCAACACACGGGCTCATCACAGGATCGACACTGGGTTAGCGCATCCAATAAGGCAGAAGCCTTACCGCGTTGGAGCATAAGGGTATCGCTTACCAGGCATAATTCAAGATTCTTCTAGCCCTTGGGCTGTGCTGGTCATACTTGTGAAAAATAGACTGATCCTGAAGGTTTTGCGTTGACTATCGGCGCCTCAAATCCACGACGAGAAAGGATGTGTATCCGCTTCCCTGTATCAACGACGTCATTGACTGTCTCCGCTCAGCGTCCTACTTATCATCTGTGGACCTCCAATCAGGCTACTGGCAGGTACCAATGCATTACACTGACAAAGAGAAAACAGCTTTTGTGGCACCAGATGGCTTGTTTGAATTCAATGTTATGCAGTTTGGTTTATGCAACGCGCCCGCAGTGTTCGAAAGATTCATGGACACTGTTATGCACGGTCTTAAGTGGGAGACTTGTTTATGCTGTCTTGATGATGTCATAATTTTCGGTTGCACTTTTGCAGAACACAATCAGCGACTTGACATTGTTTTGATGTGCCTCGAACAGGCTGCCCTTACCCTGAATTAAAAGAAATGGCAGTTTGGCCAACTAGAGTCGCTAGTACCCGGACATCTAGTGAACAAGCACGGCGTATGGCCAGACCCATAGAAAGTTGTTGCAGTTAGCAAATTCAAGCAACCGCAGTCTCAGGGCCCGTTAAGAAGTTTCTTAGGTCTTTGCTGGTACTTCCGACATTTTGTACCCAGTTTTGCCAACACTGCGTACCCTCTGACCTCGTTGCTACGCAAGGACACTCCTTTCACGCCTTTCACCTGGACAACGGATTTTGAACCATTTTGACTCTTCTGCCACAACGGAAGTGCACGCCGATCCAAGTGTAATTGGCCTTGGTGACGTCCTCATTAAGCGTTTTGGTGACGCCGAGCATGCCTTTGCGTATGTCAGCCATTCGTTGTGCAAGGCCGAACAAAATTACACCGTAATGGAGTAAGAGTGTCTCTCTGTAGTTTTTGCTGTGCAGGAGTTCCGCCCGTATCTCTACGGCCATCACTTCACGATTGTTACCGGCCATCATTCGCTATGTTGGTTAGTTGGTCTCCATTACCCATTGGGTTGCCTTGCTAGGGGGACGCTACGCTTGCAGGAGTTTGATTTATCCTGCCCCGTTATAAGAGTGGCCGCCAGCATGCCGGCGCAGACTGTCTTTCGCGACTCCCGCTACCCACAACTACTTGTGACGCTGACAATTTTGATGAATTCCTAGCCTCCATTGACAATACGCATTTTCCCGACCTTGCCACTTTCAAGAAAGAACAGCGCGACGACCGCACTCTAGATGCCCTTTTCGCCTCAGCCGACAAACGATAATGGCTTTGTTATGCAAGATGACCTGCTCTATAAAAAGAATTATGCGGGTGATGGCATACGCTTACCATTAGTGGTCCCCGCAAAAATGCGACCAGATGTGCTCTGTGCTACGCACGATGACGGAACCGCCGGTCACATGGGTTTCGCCAAAACGTATCGCCGCCTTCAAGGTAGATTCTACTGGCCTAGAATGAGAAAAACTATAGAAAAGTGTGTGTCCACTTGTGAGAAATGCCAAAAATTCAAACGCCCAAACACTGCCCCGATGGGACTCCTTCACCCTTTGGCAATACCCTCAACACCTTTCAAAATGGTGTGAGTGGATATTGTCAGCCCTTTCCCGCGCTCATCATACAACCGATGGGTTATCGTTTGTGTTGATCACCTGACGCGTTATGCAGAGACCGCCGCAACGCCTACAGCCACGGCAATCGATGTTTAGAGCTTATTTCTGGCGACAGTCGTACTTCGCCATGGTCCACCTTGCATTATTGCGAGTGATCGTGGATGCAAGTTCATTGCCGATGTGGTCGAAGAGCTCTAGCGTCTCTGTAATTGTCAATTTCGCCACGTGACCCCTTATCATCCACTGACAAATGGTCTCGTGAAGCGCACGAACAGAACGCTCATCAATATGACTTCTATGTGCGTCAATTCAAGGCACAAGAATTGGATCGCATCCTCCCCTTTATAACGTACACCTACAACTCGGCAAGGCGGGAAACCGCTGGCTACAGCCCCTTCTACCTTCCTTACGTTTGATCGCCTTGATTCTTCCTTGACACCATTCTGCCATTTCATATTCATGCAGACCTTTATATTGCCCAGACTCTTTGCCACACCGAGGAAGCATGGCGTGTATTTCGACTTCGTACGTTGACATCCCAGGACCGTTCCAAGATCACCTACGATTCACGCCACAAATACGTGTCTTACGACAAAGGCGACAGTTTGGCTCTGGACGCCGTTTTGCAACTGTGGCTTGTGTCAAAAGTTTCTGGCCCTTTACTCCGGCCTCTTCGTCATCGTCGATCACCTCGGTGACTTGACATTCTCGATAGCTCGTCTCCTTAATCACGGCTACCGTTCTCAGCAGACGCAACTTTTTCACGTCGCGTGCCTAAAGCGCTGTCACCCGCGCGACTCCGCGTTCACGTAGCCGTTACTCGACCGGCGGGCTTCATCTGTGGAGGGAGGAGTGCTACGCTAACACAACAGGGAGGACGAAGAGCACTTGGCTTGCGAGTGGATCGATGCCGGGCAGCAGCCATTCAGCCAGGTTCCTTCAGCCCATCTTTAAATAAAACACCTTTCATCGTAACAGTATGTCGCGATGATAGCAACTGCGGTTTGCTGTGCCGCAGTTGCGACAAACAGTAATTTCGTTTTCAGTCTGTGCGTGCTGGCTGTGCACGTGTCTTCAAAACTGTGTTGTTGCTATCTCTGACTTTGTCTTTTGAAGCAAACGGGAGTTGTGTTGAGTTGAGTGTTGAGTTGTGTTATAGTGCTTGACAGATGGGCAGCAGGGAGTGTTTCTATGTCTCTACACGAACAGGTTTTCATGAAATGGTTGTGCAGTAACGAACCAGGCTTCACTGGGGAGCTATTCTTTTGTAATGAACATATGACAGGAAGTGCACTAAAGCACGAAAAAACACCCATTGTAAAATACTAATTATAGTTGGCACAAACCACCACTCTTTTACTTGTGCCTGCATAGTTATTACCTGCCAAAAGTAAATTGTTATTTAAGATGACCAGAAAAATAACGAACCAAGTTTAATTTCATTTTTGTCATGGCAATGTGGCCAAACTTTACAAAAAAAAATCAACATCCACCATTTCACGTTTATGTGAGGGCTTTCTGTGCAAAATTAAAAAATGGAAATTTGACCTTCATTTCCTCTTTGACTAATAAACTCATCATGGCAAAATTGATTATGGTAGTTTTCACAGCATAAGCTAACCAGTCTCAATTGATTAGCATTTCACCTTAATGTGCCTTTCAAAAGTATTTTGTTGGTTTTCCTTTTATTACAGGTTGCCGAAAGATTTGCACGGGCTTGGTCATGGGCTCGTTCATTTGAACAGTTGTCGGAGGATAGTGCGCACGGTTCTTTATTATTTTTTCTCTGTGTACAGTAGACAAATAAATCTTGGTTTGTTCTACATTGTGCCCTGGGCAAAAGTGCTCCAGCCAATGTTGCGCAGCCCACAACCGCATCTAATTGTATCGTGCTAAGCGTGAATCTCTTGTGTTTCTCTGCAGAGAGAAGCTGGCGGATCATAAAGATGTCATGTCAGGCACTCTAGTCTCTGCAAAAAAAAATCAATAACACATTCATTGCACTACTCTACACTATTGTTACCCTATTTTCCTGTGTACAACCTGCATAAAGTGCACAGAAAATTTGAAGGTGCAGGTTACGTGTGAATTTTTATCTGCAAGAGTGCTTCATTGCAATATCAGAGATTGTTTTTTTTAAATTCTAATTGCGTTTTGTAGTTGGTCTTCAGGTTGTATGCAGGAAAATATGGTTAAACACTCGACATAACATTTTATGCATCGGATATTTATAGTGAACACTGATTGCTTAAATTGGAGTGCTGTAGCTGTAGACTCGTATAATAGTTACGAGTATGACATTTAGTAGCCCGGAGAAACAATAGACAAAAACACAAAGGCATTCTTATTCTGCTGCCCCCACACGCTCGTGCTTTACAAATCTCTAAATTTCGAGGCCGCCAGGGTGGCAGATCTACGACAGCACATGCAGCACCTGTCAAGTAGTTTGACAGGTGCTGCAAATACAGCAGAATCTGGATGACACGAATTCGAAGGGAGCACGCAAGATATTCGTATCATCCCGAATTTGTATAAACCAAAAACAGGTTGGAGCTGATTGAATGAAGACGAATAAACTTTATTGGGGTCGACTACTTCTTCCTGAAAAGAAATCTATGTTGTTTGGAAATTTTCTGCTTTCGCTAAGCCTCTTAATGAAGTGCCACAGTTTCCTTACTCATTCTGAAGGCCCGCTCACACTTAGCATCAAAGGGAGCAAGAGCGGCAAAATTTATTAGAAATTTACTCGCTTCGCCGCTCAAGCGGTCAGAAAAGCATGCTGCAAAGTCGACACGATTTGCATCGACCTCGCGGGGTGGTTTTCCGGCTGCTTAAGTGGCAAAGCAAGTGAATTACCGGTGAGTTTTGCTGCTTCCGCTCCCTTTGAGGCCAAGTGTCAATGCATCTAAAAAATATCATTCCTGTAGAATTCACTCTGGAGATTTCAAGCGAAAACAGCAGAGCCACTGAAAAACCTCGTCCGCACCCGTCGAAAACGTTCACATGCGTTCTGCACGTCTTATACATGCCACCCCCGCCGCCGTCATCACCGTTTGAGAATTCGTTCCATTTTGCCTATTACCTGAGCAATTAAGTTTGTACAGAGTTTTAATTATACATGCAAAGCACTGAAAAGAAGCAGTTTACACTTTAAGAAATGTCAATTAGAAACATTGGAAATTACACAAGCGGACACACAGGCAGCAGCGGCAACTGATTCAGCCGGCACTACAAAAGCGAGACACATTAAAGCATGCAGACTCGCTGCTGCAGCACCTTCTTCTACTTTGTGTTCGCAGCGGTCCTAATCCAAACCAGGCTCTCGATCTTCGTCAAGGCCATGGGCTTTGTCGTGCTTTGTGGGTAGCTTGTGATTGCGCCGACGCGAGCCACGGCTGACGTTTTTTGCCGCCTTATAGAATTTCCAACTGGTTGTTTACATCACGTAGTTTGAGAGCCAGTGCGGCCGTTATAGCCACAGCCGAAAAAAGATCTGCTATTGTGTGATGGAAACGACCGAGTTTTTAGAGTCAGCCTCACGGTGCAGTTTTCAGACCACTTAGGTGGCAAAGGAAAAAAAATTCCGGTGAGTTTTGCCGCATTAGCACCCTTTAAAGCCGAGCTTGAACGGGCCTTCTTTCTGCAGACAAGCCGTGCGTTGCGCCATTCACATGCAGCGGTGAACCACATGTTTGTATCATCCGCAGATGCTGGGGTAACCGTATAACACCAAATACAGCATATTTAATATAATGTAGGCCATCCAAAGCAACCTTAAAATTTGTATCATGAAATTCGCATCAACTGTAATCGTGTCATCAAGGTTCTATCGTACTAATGTGGTCTTCAACATTGTATGCTGTGCGAGATCAATAAGCTGCTCTTGTGCACTGTGCACAATTTAGTTGTTAACATGTTGAGGGCTTTCACCGTGTGTGTATGGCATTCATAGTGAAAAGCAGCGCGAAAGTGAAGACGAGGGAGAAGAAACAGGACTAGTGCCAAGTGTCACGTTCTATCCCTTGTTCTTGTTGCGCTGATTTTTACTATAAATGTGCTCAAGTGTACGGCATTGCCTGTATGTTCAAAGCGATCGCCATTTTCGATCATTTCTTTTGCTTGGCATGTGCTGCCAGGCTTGGGGAATATGTGCAATTTTTTTTTCTATGCACTAATGTCTCTCCGTTGTAACCATGGTTCTTATTGAATTTTTTTCTTCACATAACAGCATTGGCTAAACCTGTCAAGAGCGCCCGTGGGGCACCTGGTTTGAAGGGGAACACCGGCGCTTTTTAGATATTCACCGATTTTAATAAAACTTTGAACATGTGTTCTCGTCAGTAGTGTGGTGATATGTGCCAAATTGTACAACTGTAAGTCATTTAGTTTTTAAAAAAAGTTTTAAATTTGGTAGCTAATTTTGGAATTGCACTTGTAAACGTGGGCCAGTCTGTGTATGTGACGTAAGAGACTACTCTTTTTTAAAAAGTCGCACTTTTTCCAGCAGATGAATGGAGCGCGCACTTTCTTCTACGAGGCGACGACAATGTGAGAACTGTTTTGTTTTGTGAGCTACATACAGCGTGTTAGTCATCGTTGACGTCGGGTCTCAAAATATTGAGCAACGAGGAAATTGATTCGAGGCATGTCAGATGCTTCACGCGTCGGCGGGTCGAAAGCAAAAAGCGATTCTTTTGCGCTCAAATAGCTGCAGTCATCGTTGAACTTGTCACTGATAAGTGCAGAAGAGCTATGATAGCATGATTCCGCATTGGATGACATCGCCAACTTGCTTTTCACGCTGTTTACACCCTGGCCTGCCGTGGCGGGGTGTAGCGGATCTCGTGACGTCATCGGCGACGGATTACTGTGACGTCATCCAATACCTACCTAGGACGACGGAGCAGCTCCCGGTTTCGATTTCCGTTTTGACTCGCCATTGATTGCCTAATTAAAGTTTTTGACGAATGCCTGAGCAAAATGAACCACTCTAGTTTTTACAGAACTGTCAATACTATTCGAAAGCAGGATTATCTCACTATGGTCGAAAATGTGCCGGAGTTCCCCTTTAAAACATATGCAATTTTTCTATCACTTGTCTTGCTCGGCGTGTGCTTCACACTTCGAAAAGACGTAGAATTTTTTTCATGCACCAGTACACGCGCATGCAGTGTGGCTGGTTTTAGTTTCGGCCTTCGGTAGTTGTCGCGTCTCATGCCCTAAAAGCTGATGGATGTCTGGTCAAAGGGTGACCGCTTACAAATTTCTCGTTTTTTGCTCTTAGAGGTGCAATTACATAATTTACATCTGTTTCGTGTGGTGGTAAATTCTTTTTGTGGTCCACCTCGACATCCCCCAGCTACCAGGCTGTTGAGCACGAATGAGAGACGGCACACCTGAAAGGAACACTCTTTAATGGAATAATGAAAAGAAGAGGAACTGATATCTTCGTGCCCTCGTACGAGCGGCAGATTGTGAGGAGCACTTGTTATGATGATGAAGACGTCTGCTAGGTGGAGAAAGACGGAAAGTTCCAACACTTTTTCGGACTGGAATCTTTTGAAGAACTTATTTCCACAATAAAAACTGTTTGCATTTTTAACTGCATTTAGCAACGAAATCCGACCCTGAAAGGGTCAAGTAGTTTGTTCATACAGTCAAACTTTGATATATCGAATCCAAAAAAGTTCTATATGCTAAAGAAGTTCTCCATGTTAGGTAATTTTAAATATGAGATATTTTATAAATTGACAACATTTTAAAGGGTATTTACAAGTATTTGGTTTATTCAATAATTTGTCAAATGTACATTTAACTGTATATGTGTTCCTTTTCTTAAAATAAGCTTTTTTGTCGCACTGCTCCAAATTTGTGAATTTGTGCTACAAAAATGGAAGGCTTTTTTTATGACCTGCTCTAAATTTGAATTTTACTGCTCCAAAAGTCGCTCCATATTCTATTTTGGATGTTGCACAGAAAATGCCGTGGTGATCCTCGAGCGTTCCTGTGCCAAGCCTGGGCAGGCACAGAGGAGGTGCTCGAGGGTCTCGGGGTCCGCGCAACGACTGCAGGCAGGGGAGCCACAGTGACCCTTGGCATGACGCGGGCAGCAGTCCATACGCAGCTCGTCCGGAGGGCGGCACAGTCCCTTCTGGTGAGGCCCGTGTCAGGCAACAGCTTGGGTCCTTGTCCATTGGCCACCCGGGAGTCTGGGTGGACCGTGACAAAGAGCCACTTGATGTGTGCTTGCATGAAGTCCCTGGCCATGATGGCTCGAGTGACGAAGGTGCCAGGCTGGTGTGCACCTTGGCTAGCGTGCCCGCCTCCTCGTTGCCGGCTATGCCCATGTGAGACGGCAGCAAGTGGAAGGAGAAGGATGCCCCAGAAGCACCAAGGGCCTGGTACTTAGCCACCAGGAGGCCCCTGGTCAGTCCAGCGCGTCGGGTGTTGGCCAGGATCTGCAGCGCTGCCTTGCTGTCACAAAGGACGGCTACAGGCTGCATTGGAACGTCTTCCGCCAGAAGTTCGGCTGCCAGGTAGAGCCTGGGCAGCTCGGCCGCTGTGGAACTCGCTGGGAAGGGCAGTCTACACTGCCTGCTGCTCCTCTCGAGGTCTTCGAGGTCGTCCCGCTCTAGATGCTTGTAGTAGTCGTCCCGCCGTGCCTGCAGCGAGTTGACATTCCACTGTAGAATGCTCAGAAATCGGGGGAGACGGGCCCCGACAGGAGGACAAGCCATGTTGGTTAGGGGGGTGCTGCAAAGCCACTTCCTGCTAGGAGATGGCACGTAGAGGGAGTTCGGCTGGCAGCCGGGCGACGGCCAGCTGCGTGAACGGCTGGAGGTAGGCTGTCTATAGCAGCAGGCTTGCGAATCTGCCTGGCGG